TATCTGAAATTCTGTCTCATTTTCTTCCCCAGTTTTAAATATTGTGGTAAATATATATACATATATAATTTATTTACCACTTAACCATTTTTATGTGTACCCTTCAGTGGTACCAAATACATTCATAATGATGTGCAACCATCACCACCACTCATCTCTGGAACTCTTTTCATTTTGTAGAACTGAAACTCTATACCCCTTAAACAGTAATTCCCCATTCTATCTTTCCCCCAGTCCCTTATAACCACCATTCTGATTTCTGTTTCTGTGACCTTTATACTCTCAATACCACATATTATGTGGAATTATGCAGTATTTGTCTTTTTGTGACTTATTTCATTAGCACAATATGTTGTGGTGTATGTCAAAATTTCCTCCTTTTTTAAGGCTGGAGACTATCCCATTCTATGTATATATCACATTTACTTATCAATTCATCCATTGTACATTTGGGTTGCTTCCACATTTTAGCTACTGTGAATAATGCTGCTATGAACATAGGCCTACAAATATCTCTTCCAGAGACTCTATTTTCAGTTCTTTTGGTTATACACCCAGGTTTGGAATTGCTGGATCATATGGTAATTTTATTTTAATTTTTTTGAGAAACTGCCATAGTGTTTTCTATTACTGGACAGGGACCGGCCTGGAGCGGGTCTGCCTCAGGCCGGCGTGGGTTCTTGACTTCGTGTAGGAGAGATTTCACAGCAGCAGTCCAGGTGAGAGTATGTTTATTGAAGCTGGGGACAGTGAAACAAAGGAGGGACATAGGGTAAAAGAAGTAACAGGAGAGTAACAGGAAAGAGCCTAGGTAGTGCTCTTCTTTGGCTCCCTAGAAATGGTGAAGGAGTGAGCCAAAGCGTGGCTGCTTTCCGCTCACTGGGAAGTCCGAGAAAAGGGGGGCCTTGGAGACAGGATCAGGGGGTAAGCCGGGGTCACCACTGCCCTCAGCTCCCCTGGCTGCAAATCTCATGGGGACCCTTAGAGTTTAGGAGGAAATAAAAAGTTCATGCCCAGCAAGGGGAATGGGTGAGCTTTAGAGTGAACCCTCCCTGAGTCTTTGTCCTAAGGGCTTTTTATCTTTTTTCTGCAGGTGACAGTCTTAGGGGAGGGTTTCAGTAGAACAGTCATCAGCTTTCCAAGAGCATTTTTAATATGTTGATATTTCAAAATGAGGATATGAGGGGCTGGGGTTGGGAATATTCTTTGGTCTGTTACACTGTTTTACTTTTGTTTTGGGTCTTTCTGGCTTTTAATGGGGTTTTTGCTATTTGTTCCCCTGACTTTATCGGACCTTGGGTTTAGCTGGCACAAATGGCATTAACTGGGTCTCTGTTCTCCATTTTCCCAGACCAGGGAGATTTAAACTATGTATTCTTTGGTTAGAGAGGACAAGTATAAAGTATTAGCTCTCCAATGTCCTTGGTTAGGGGTGACAAGGTCTTGCAATTCACCAGCTGGCTATACGTTGCTCAAGCTGTTTGGCATGGTTTAACTTTCTTGTCTCAGTTTCCCCATCCTGCTTGTTCAGGAATTCTCCTAGGGTTTTATTATCCTGTCACATTTTTCACAGTGGCTGCATCATCGTTTTACATTTCCACCAATGTGCACAAGGATTTCAATTTCTCCCGGATAGCTGCTTTCAGTTTTTTGTTTTTTTTTTAATAGCGGCCATCCTAATGGGTGTGAGAGTCTTTGTTTCATTTTGATTAGTACTTCAAATTCTATTGTCAAAGATTTATTCATTTGGGGTTAACAAGCACTCTTTTAAGAGGCAAATATACCTAAGAGTTATCTGTTTCTCTTACTTCCCCTTGTCAAACTGATTCTCCTGTGACTTCCAGGAAGTGATGGATGATAATTAAAACCTACACTTCTGCCCTGGTGGCGTGGCTCTCAGTCTGTTGGAGTGTTGTCCTGTGCACCAAAAGGTTGCAGGTTCGGTCCCCAGTGGGGTGGGACGCATACAGGAGGAAAAACAACAAACATATTATCAGGTGAGGATTTAAAAAAAATAACAAACCCTACACTTCTCAAATCATGCACCCATAGCCCTGACGTTGATTAGTTTTTTTCAAGTGAAGGGATTACTGCTTGGAGAAGTATTTATATTGTTTCTGGCATTTCTGGTATAAGGATTGGCCCCATTATGAAGTGTTGGAAATTGTTCTTGAAAAAATAAGCTCCAGATAGAGCCCCACCTGTTTGCGAAACCTATACTGCATTCAAATTATTTAATAAATTTACTTTAAAACATGTATTGAGTAATATTCTGGGTGGATGACGCTAAGCTAAGCTCTTTTACCCTTTAAAATATAAGTTCCAGGAGGTCAGGATATTTCTTCTGTTTGGCTCACTGCTTTATTGTTAATGTCTAAAACAGTGCCCAATTCATAGAAAAGGCTCATTAAATATTTGTTGAATGAATGGATACATTCTGCAGATACAACCTGTGGTTTCCAGGTGTAGTCCACAGAGTCTGGGGTGCCTGAGATGGTTTCAGGGAGTCTGCATGGTCAGAAGTATTTTCCTAATAATATTAAGACATTACTTGATCTTTTCCAGTGTTGACATTTTCACTGATGGTATAAAAGTAACTGGGTGAAACTTCTGGCATCTTAGAATGAATCAAGTCAGCATGGCACCTACTTACAGTAATGTCATTATATTGTTAAGTGCCACACCTATGCAAAAAAAAGAATGAAAAGATTTTCACTTAAGACCATCCTTGACAGTATGAATTATGAACTTTACAAAATCTCTTTTCTGGAGTATATGTCTTCTTAATGTTTTCTGTGATGAAATGCAAGGTGTCTATAAAGCACTTTTGTTTACTGAAGTATATGGTTATGCGACTGGGATTGAATGTGAGTTGAACTAGCTGCTCTTTTCATAGAATGCCATTTTTATTTGAAAAAATGACTGGCAGAAAAGCTACGGTTGTTCAGAGTTGGATATTTTAATGAAATGAGGAAAATTGTGGAAAGTATTCTATTTCAATATTTGAGCATTCAAGCCAAAATGATAACTTTGGAAAGTACAGTATTTACCAAAGTGAGATTAACAGCTGCAGTAGGCATCAGTGATGATTTTAATAAATGATTTTTAAAAAATATTGAACAATGAAATGCACCAATATTTGGAAGATCTGGATTATTCAGTAAACCAGTATTTTCCAAATGTTTTCAGATACCCCACTGCAACTAACCTTTAAGAAACTACCACTTGTTGAGTTTTGCTAGTATCAAAGAAGGGTATCCACAATAATCTTAAGAAGGCTAAAAAAGTCTGTGTGAGACAGGATTTTCTTCATTTCCTAGACCAAAATAACATAGTACAACAAAGAAAGGGGAGGCAAATATGAGAACTCAGCTGTCTTCTATTAAGCCAGGCATTAAAGAAATTTGCAAAATTGTAATACAATGCCACTCAATAATTTTGTTTTAGAAAGTGTAGCACTCGCCCTGGCTGGTGCACCTTAGTAGATTGAGTGCTGGCCTGTGAATCAAAGGGTCACTGGTTCAATTCCCAGTAAGGGCACATTTTCCGGGTTGTGGGCCAAGTTCCTGGTGGGGAGGCACATGAAAGGCAACCACACATTGATGTTTCTCTTCTTCTCCCCCTCCTTTGCCCTTTCTCTAGAAATAAATAAAATCTTAAAAAAAGAAAAAAATTGTAGCTCTAGTTCACAAACTATATTATCTTAACATGTAATGGTTTGTTATTGTTTTAGACACAGTAATTTTTAAAAATTTTTTTAAAAATTACATTTATTAGGGTGACATTGTTTAATAAAATTACATAGTTCTCAGGTATACAATTCTACAATACATCACCTGCATGTTGCCAACTGTGTTCACTAACCTAAACAAATGTTTTTAATTTCTCAATTTTAATTTGTAATTTGATGAATATTCCACAAAAGCAAAAGCTCCTTGCGGTTCTTAGTCATTTTTAAGAATGTAAAGGGAATGTAACCCAGGCGGGGTAGCTCTTAGTGGGACCTCGGACACCACGGTTGAGGGTTCCTTCTCTGGTCAGATCATATAAAGGAAACAACCAATGGGTGTTTCTGTTCCTCTCTCAAAATCAATTAAAGAGGGTAAGGGAATCCTGAGACCGGAATTCAAGAAAAGCTGCTTTGGAGTATGTGCAATAATCTCCACTTTACAGATGAGGAAACTAAGGTTTATAAAGATTTAGGATCAGTTTAAGGCCGTAGGGTCAGTGTATTGCTGAGTATAGTACATAGTTCCAGAGCTTGTATTCGCGACCGTAACTTTTTCCTCGGTATTATCTTTACTAACATTCCCTTTAAACTGGTAGTTAAAAGACATTTCAACAACATAAAAAAAGTCTTCGTCATATTCAACGGATTGTTCATTGTTACTAACTAGCTGCACCATCCTTCTTGGGGGTCCTTTCTGCGAGTGAAACGTGTTGCTGAACCATCTCAGTCCCGGTTTTCGCTCTGACAATCTGGGGTTTTACAAACATGAGCTGGAATCTTTTGTTAACTCAGTTAGGGAACTGCAACCCACCGGGTTCAACTGGGGACTCTTGGGAATTTGCAAAACTCCAAGAACGGGGGCGTTTTCTTCCACGACCCTCCCACACTCAAGACCGTACCTCGCGGAACCAAAAGCATAGTAACAACCTCCCCTCACGGCTTCGGCTCCTGGGTCCCTCTTTCAGACCTTTAATAAGCTTCCTGGGCGCTGATTGGCTGGACTTACAACGATGGGCGGGACGCTGCCCTGGATTGGACGTCAGACCACCTTGGTCGCCCCTCCCCGGCGTTCACCCTCCAGCCCACGGAATGATTGGTGCGGGGTCCCGACTGCCGCCAGGGCCTGGGTGGGGCCAAGCGCGCCTCGAGGGAAGAAGGATCGCCACTAAAAGCCCGCGCCTGAAGGGGTGGGGCGTCCTGGGGACCCGGGATTGGAGTGCTGGGAGCCGTCTCCCGTCGTGCACTGGGGCACCGGTCACTCACCCGGAAGGAGAAGCCGGGACTGTCTATATGGTGGGGCGCTGGCGGTGTTGCTCTGTGGAGTGGGTCCTGCTCTCAGGTGAGGGGGCGTGGGCAGGGCCGCGGCCGCGGGGAGAAGGTGCTTCTCTGAGATGAGGGCCACGGACTTAAGCGTCAGTAGTGGCGCTTGGGGTGGGGATTTCGCTTGACATCCTATGGGCTGTCTTATCTCCCGTAATAAAGGCCGTTACTTGCTCGGGATCCAGGAGAAGGAAAACCGGCATTTCCATTTTTAAAGGAATATAAAGCATCTTTCCTTCCCACTCCCCAAGATTAATAGGCAAAGAAAGAGGGGGACCGTGTGGCTCTTTGCTGCTAGTTCGTTAAGAGTGAAGGGGGAGTGGCCGGAGTCAAAAGAGTTTGGGGACATTTGCCCAAACGACTGGGACTAGGGATAATGGACAAGTATTTTACGGGAACACGAGAGGCCCTTGCGCTAGACTGTGTTCGCTTTTGTGACTGACCTTCCAAGTGGAAGGAGTGGCAAATTAGAGGGACAAAAAGAATGCCGCAGAGCTGGTTGAGAACACACGAAGGTTGGTCAGACAGGGGAAACTTCCTTTACCACCTGTGGGTGCTTAGGAAGGAGAGCTTTTTGAGTTGCCATCTGGCTCAAGAATAAGTAAGAAGGGATGGAAGTCTCGGTGGCTCAATATACTTTTATCACCTGATTATTTTTTTTTTAACCTGTCTCTTGAAGTAGTTTAAACGGGAATGAAAAGGGTGGAGCTCAAGTCTTGAATTGTTGTGACATTGGAAAGTTTTACAAGGAATCTACTTTGTAAATGGCAAACAACTAGGGTCTTCTTGGAGTTGTTGGTGCTGGCACAGATGGAGAAAGTAAAGGAAACTTCAGATGTGATTGAAAGGGCCCAGGAAACGGAGTTAGCGCTGAGTTCCATAAGTAGCTGAGAGGGTCACTGACTTTATTCTCATTTGGATGACATATGGCTCCATCTCCCACATCATAGAGCTAAAGTTAAGAACTTCTTCCTCCTCAGAGAACTGAGCTTTATTTCCTTCTGAGAAGTGGCACCTATGGGGAGGAGAGGAAGCTAATGGAGAATAGCAGTTGCTAGAAACTGTTACTTGAAGTCTAGCTTTTTGTGTTTCTTCCAGTGTTTTTAAGGAAAATTATAGCTGGAACTCTTAGTGTCTTTCGAATTTAGATTTAAGTACACAGCATTTTAGGGGTCCTAGGATTTTTAAAAAACCTCTTTATAAAAAACCTATTTGTTTCTAAGTGGCATTAGCCCCAAAGGAAAGGAGAGGAACTTGCACGTGGAGGTGGTACAGAGCCCGAGGCAAACTCTTTGTGAGTCCAAGAGAGTACTGACCATTTTGTTACTAAATTATAGTCCTGACTTTGATAAACCTTTCAAGGCACAGGAGATGTGTGAGCCCCACCGAGCTTGTCGAGACTATGATTTCCTTGGCATGGTCTTTCTTTATTACTTTTGTGAAAAGACACTACAGAATCTTTTAACTCTGCTCCTGTGCTGGCAATTTACCAAATGCCAGGAAAGAAAAGAGGAAAAATTATTTAAAAATCTGAGTAGGTTAGTTGTTCACGGTAAGTTGGCCTGCTCTTTTTGATCACAGCCATTTGAGTGCTTACATCGGGATTTTATACATTGGTTGTTACGGCATTGGAATTGCCAGTTTTTCAGTTCAGGAGCCCTTTGCAATGGTGACTGCATCAGATGAAAAATCAGATTGTCAGCAAGAATACTGTTTAAGATGGTATTGCAATCATAAGACCTTCGGCTTGCTTGATGGCGTAGCCCCATTTTGTTGTATGCCGTGAAGCCATGTCTCTGAGTGCAGTGTCTGTGTGGAGAGACCTTCTGGTATATTGGAAAGAATTGGAAAAGCTGTTTGCTCTGCTAATTTTGTGGGGTAAATGAGTTCTCCTTCTTTTCAAACATTTGCCTTGTGTTAGCAAAACATAAGATAGAAAGAAACTCATTACACACTCTTCTAATGGTAAGGCAGAACTAATAAGGGAATGTGTTTAAAATTAATTGTGGGACTGTAAAAATGAGTGGATGTGAATGGGCATGGGGGGAGGAGAGGGAGATCTTAGAGAGTCTTGTTTCCCCAGGAGCCAACACAGATCATTTGTTGGCAGTACATATTGGCTGAAGTCAGTTTTCATTTCAAGGTAAATTGAAAAGGGAAATTAAACCTTATTGTTTTGCTCTTAAGAGAGGAGAAGGGGGTGCAGGTGGCAGCCAGGGTGGATGCTGTTGGAGTGGTTCTAGGAGTCATAAGATTAGTGCTGTATTTTAACAGAAGGTGACATCATGGGCCCCTTTGGACTCGAGTAACCCTGTGCTGCAACCTTCATGGTCCCCTTGTTGGAGAGGGCGATGTCGCTGCACATGTAAACTACCACGTTGGGGGAAATCAGCAGCTTAGGCTTTAATGAATCTTTACAAAGGAGTGGAAAACATTCTGAATGGACCTGTGTAAGCTGTAGGGTGTTTGGGCAGAGGTACAAACTGGATGGCATGTCCAGCAAGGAAATAATTAGAACCTTTGACTTAGGTTCTGGAGAATAAATGATTAGATAAGGGAAGGTCAAAACTGGGCAACCCATTCAGGTGCTCCCGGTGCTCACTCTGATTTACCTCTGGGGAGGTGACTGGTTAACAAGACAAAGAGACTTAGGAGCATTGGTGTTTTGGGGAGCTTGGCTATCTCTGAACAGCCAGGAGGGGGCGATGTTGGGTTCACTTGCAAAGCTGTGCCCTGTGTGCCCACGAGGCTGCTTTGCCTTCAGTCTTCAGGCAGAAAGAGTTGACAACCGAACCTCCCTGTTTTCGGCTGCTTGAGGCAAACCCTGCACAGACCCAAACATGCTTTGGTTAGACGTGGCCTGGTTTAGGATCTTAGCCGTGGTCTGAAAAGGGAGGCAAATCCCCCAGGGCTTGTAGTTGTCATGCACCTAATGTGGAGGAGTTTTTTTGCTTCCTTTTAAGTTTTTCACAAGTATCAAAAAAGGTGCCTGGGTTTCCCCAGGAGGGTTGATTATAAAATTTTTAGGGTTTTACCCTGGTAAAGAGTGGTAAGAATAGAAGCACACTAACCACAGCTGTTCCCTTGTCATTTGTCCCTCTTCAGATGTTTTCTTCCAATGGGCTTTGGGTATAGGATGTTGGAGAACCAAGAGCCGGAGGTAAGCATGTGGTCTCCACAGAACAGGTGGGTAAGTTTGAGGGGATTTAGGAGAAGATGCAAATCATTGCATCTCCATGGTGTTCTCCATGGTGTTCTTCTGACAGTAATACCTTGGTAATTCTGGTGAGCTCAAAGTAAAGCCAGGAGAAAGAAATCAGTAGTGAGGGCATTTCTGGGAAATGAGGTTCCATTTTTGACTAACTTTCCATTCCTTAGAATACACTGGAATGTAAGCTTCATGAGGGTGAGGATTTTTGTCTTTTATTCATGTTCTTCCCCCAGTGTCTTAGAATAGCACCTGATATGCAATGGGTCAATAAGTATTTGTTGAATTTAATGGATAAGTGAACAAATGAATAAAAGTTGGTGCTGTTTGGAAAAATCTGCCAACCTGTGTGGTCAAAGCTGCCTTACTTGTGTGGCTGAGCTGAAGCTGACGGAGCATTTCTTACCTTCAGGAGGTGATCACTGTGCGTGTCCAGGACCCCCGTGTGCAGAATGAGGGCTCCTGGAATTCTTACGTGGATTATAAGATCTTCCTCCATGTAAGTGCATCACACTCTGGATTGGGATCAGCACTCTCCAGGGCTGAGGGACAGTGCTGAGGCAGAACCCATGTGTGGGTGCTTCTGGCAGGCCCAAGACAGAAGAAAAAGAGGGAGGGGAGGAGCAAGAGCTTGGGTGGGCCTGCAAGTTGCTTGCAGGCTGTCTGATAGCTCGAGTTGGAGCTCTGATGAGAACTGTGGCCTAATGGCTTAGATCCTTAGCGAGAGTGATGATGGGGAGTTTTGTGATCTTTGTCTTTTTCTAACCCGGTTCACGTACTGTTTCCTGTAGACCAACAGCAAAGCCTTTACGGCCAAGACGTCCTGTGTACGTCGCCGCTACCGTGAGTTCGTGTGGCTGAGAAAGCAGCTACAGAGAAACGCTGGTTTAGTGTGAGTCTGCTCTTGCATCTTTCTTGGGTCTGAGACTGGCTTTTTAGGTGTTTACTCGGGAATTAAGAGTTGACAGTGAACAAAACTTGGCAATGTGCCAGGCACTAAGGAAATTGAGAAATGTGTTCTTAAATCATGTTTTTAAATCAGTGAAAAAAGTAAAGACAGAGTTCTTATTTCTAGTATTTTGACCTAACCATGCCATAGAAATAGCAAAAATATTTTTTATATGTATATTAGTGTAGGGCTAAACAAATGTGCTGCTAACATTATAAATGTGCTTGTTACTGGTTATGAGAAACTTTTTAGCACCTGGACTTATTTGACAGGTGGTGATCTGATCCATCTGACATGTAAAAATTGTGATTTTTTTTTTCTTTGTGCAAAGACCTTTTTTTCAGAGGCACAACAGAGTAAGAGCCTTAGGAAGGACCTCCCAAATAAGTCCTAAAACTGGAGACAGTTTAGAACAGTGCTTCCACCACAGAATGCTCACTGAATGCTCTGGTGAGGGATGGCCTGTTGAAGACCTAGCTAGTTAGTTACCATGTGGGACTGATGAGGACACTGTCATGAGTCAGACCCTCATAAACCAGTTGGAACTTCCCCCAACAAATTGTGCACCTCTAGCCTTGCTGTTGTCTTTTGAAAGTTATGTGCTGAGCTTCATAAGAGAGGAGGTTTAGAGAGTTTGTGGATGATAACTCAGCTACTTTTAGAAAATTCCAAGCGTGTGACTTTCTAGGACTGGCGAGGGCAGCCTTAATCTACACACAAGGACCCATCATTCTCCATGTCTTTATGTCTAAGCCCCTCCCTTTTAAGAATAGTAGTTGATGGTGGGAGTAGGTTTTGTAAACAAGGTAGTACGGTAGCATGAAGTTTGAAGTCATAGATTTCATTCAAATACCAGTTCTGTTGCTTACCAGCTGTGTGGTACTGGGGCATTTTCTCAACTTCTCTGATTCTATTTCCTTACCAGTAAAATGGGAACAGTAATATCTTTCTCATGGGGTTTTGGGAGGATTAATGAAGTAAGGTTTGTAAAACATTAGGTGTAATGTCTGACAGGTGGCATGCACTTAGTCATTGTTAGTGTGTGTGTCGTCCCCCCCGCCCCCGGCATCTTATTAAAAGCTCTTTGTATTGCCTCTTTTGCGGGGGATTTCCTTGACCAGGGGCTGAAATGACTGTGTTGGATCTTGCACTTATTTTGGGTGTTATGTTATGTGACTCCATAGGCCTGTACCTGAACTTCCTGGGAAGTCAACCTTCTTTGGTAGCTCAGATGAGTTCATTGAGAAGCGACGACAAGGCCTGCAGCACTTCCTTGAAAAGTAAGTGGGCATGGCAGGCTAGCACTTGCCTCTGAGGTGGCGGCAGAGATGGGGGAAGGTGACTGGCAGGATGGCTCATTGAACATACAGGTGCATTTGGGGTAGACCTCTTTGTTGTACCGTCATGCTCACTCAAGCCAGAGTCCTTCAGAGGTAGGGGCTGGAGAGAGCAAATCCTCAGAGCGATGCTGTGTGTTGTTCTACCTCTGTGTGCCCCAGGGTCCTGCAGAGTGTTGTCCTCCTGTCAGACAGCCAGTTACACCTCTTCCTGCAAAGCCAGCTTTCGGTGCCCGAGATAGAAGCCTGTGTCCAAGGCCAAAGCCCCATGACCGTTTCTGATGCTATTCTTCGCTATGCTATGTCAAACTGCGGCTGGGTCCAGGAAGAGAGGCAGGATTCTTGTCACTTGGCTAAAGGAGACCAGCCTAAGAGGTAACTAAAGTTCTCTTTTTTTTGAGACACTAGGAGGTAGGATTACTGTTACCTGGGCTGGAGAGGTGCCCATTAAATAACGTCAAGTCACAGCGCTGGTAGTCTTTCAGAAGGGGCCTCATTCTCATGTGTGGTTCTGTCATTCCATGCACAAGAGTCTGTGCTAACCGACCCCTGGGTAGAGGCGCTCCTACAGAAGCGTGGGGAGAAAGAAGAGAAGGCTTTCTTATTTGTTATGCCCTTTATGCTCCCCCCCTTTAAAATAACTTCACTGAGATACAATTCACATTCCATAAAATTCACCCTTTTAGTGTACAGTTCAGTAGTTTTTAGTTTATTCACAAAGTTGTGCAACCATTAATCACCACAGTCAATTTTAGAACATTTTCCTTACCCCAGAAGTAACCTTGTACCCATTAACATGACTCCCTGTTTTCCCCAACCCCTAGTCCTGGAGACCTCTAATCTGCTCTCTGAGTCTGTGGATTTTCCTATTCTGGACTTCTCATACAAATGGAGTTTTAAGATATGTGGCCTTTTGTGATTGGCTTCTTTTACTTAGCATGTTTTCAAGGTTCATCCATGTTGTAGTATGTATCAGTACTTAATTCCTTTTTATGGCTGAATAATAATCCATTTGTATGGACATACCACCTCTTGTTTGTCTTCACTTGTGTTTATCCATTCATTTTGTTTACCTGTTCCTTCTTTTCCCTTTCCCGTTCTCCTAGTTGCTGCTTTTTTCCAAGATCGAGTAGGAGGAGTTCTCCCTCGCCACCTCCTGAGGAGGAAAAGGATCATTTTGAGGTGTGGGCTCCTGTTGTTGACTCTGAGGCTCCTTCCTTGGAAAGCCCCCCTCTCCCACCTCCAACCTCACCATCATGCTGTGATTTTGCAAGACCTGATGAAGGACCCTCTGATCCTCAGCCTGTGAAGAGGTCCTTGGGAGGGGACCATGCTGTGCCTTTGGATCCTAGTCAGTCAGAAACAGTTTTGGAAAAGTGAACTCTGGTCTGAGCTCTGGGTTCTGCTCTGAGATGGACAGAGGAGATGCAGACAAGGAGATGTAAGCACTGGGGTGGGACTGGGCACAGGGCAGCATTGGGGAAGCTGGGCTGCTTAGTGTTTTACAGCTGCCTCTGCTCGGGCTGGTTGCACAGAGGTCGGTCATGACAACTCCTCAAGCTTCCGCCATAGAAATAACACTGTGCAGATGTTTGTAAGTTAGGTATAAGGTCCAGGGGCTGTTGGTTTTGAGCAGGATCCCATGTTTACCCTCTTGGGAACTTAGTTTCTTATGATGTTTGTTAATGGGCCCAGGAGCGCTGCCCCTAGGTGACTGATTTTGGGGACCCATCAGCGGCAGATGTTAAGCTGCCAGATTGAATATTGTCCCAACAGAATTGCTTGTGTAGTTGTATTCCCACCGGCTCGGTTTTGCTGCGGGCCCTGGAGCACTTTTTTTCTGGGAGGCTGGCCTCTTGCCTACCTCCTTGCATGGCCAGGGTGGTGAAAATTTATTCTCCCACCCCCTTGCTTTTCCTCCACTAATACCAGTGAACGGAATGGTGCTGTGACTCCTGTCGCTGGCGTTCCCTGCATATCCCAGGACCTCCGCCTGGCCGTGTGGGGCCTGAGACCCACAAAGCAGGTCGTGACCACGCATGAAAGAGAAGTGGTTGTTCACAGCCAGAGGAGAGGCAAACAGCTCAGGGAGTTTTGTTTTGGAAAAGGCTGTCCTGGCCTGTCACTATCTCTTCTGGTTATAAAGCAGAGACACCACCATCTTTTCTGCAGAGGTAGAATGCGCTCCTTTCTTTTTTGAATCCTTTTCTTCTCCCTTAGTAACAGCTCCCTGCCCCCGGGGCTTCAGCCTCTGCGGTGTACCTCTGCTGTGCTGCAGGGAGGCCGTATGTTCAGTCCAGTGGGGCGCAAGGGCTTTGTTTCTTTCTGGAGAGAGGGCTCTGGGGATGGGGATGAGGAACAACATGCCTCCCTTCAGACAATGAGGCATTCTGCCCTCCTGCTGCCATAATTCCTCTCCACTGAGAGGCAGAGCTGGTGGGAGGCGAGTGCCGCTGGCGCTCTGCGTTGCTCTGCACTTAGGTTTGTGTGTGGTTCTTGCCCACTCCTCCATCCTCAGGACACCCCACCCCGTCTGTGGGCTCTTTTACTACCAGCCTATGCTGTGGGACTGTCATGGCATTTAGTTCAGAGTTGAGGGGCTTTGGCCTGAAATAAAATTCAACTATTTAAGACTGTTGTTGCAATTTGTGTCTAACAAGCTGTAGCAGAGAAGGAGGGAATGAAGGCTGGCAGTAGTTACTTTCATAAATCATGAGTTTATCAGTGTGGAAATAATGGTTCGGGGCTGTGCACCGCAGTTCTCCTGCATTGTGTGTGCGGCTCAAGTTCACCACTGGAGGAAGGACTGTCTTCCAAAGAGCCGGGATCCAGCTCTACTCACAGTTACGGGCATGAACCTTGTTAGGTGTCATTTACCTGATGCTGCTTCCATCCTCGCAGCCTGTCTGAGGTGCCAGGTGCTGAAAGAGAAATAAAGTTTGTCAACAGGCAGATGCAAAGCCTTGGCTGGGACCCATCCCTCTTTCCTGCCCGCCTCCCCTGAGTCTCTCCTTTATATGATGCAGCAGAGCAAGGCGAGGATAGAAAACCTACAGAGGCAAATCCAAAATGTCAAAAGAAGTTCATTTAAAAGGGGGAAAAAAAACTCCATACACAACCCTCACAAAAACCCGACAGATGCTAAGCTAATGGCATCCGCTCTGCCGATTGGTGGGGATGACTCATGAATATTAATGAGTCCAATGCTCCAAATGGTGCAGCTGTGAACCCAGCTGTGCCTGAAGCTCTCAGATCTCGAAACTTCCAGACAGGAGCCGGAGGTGGTCTGTGTCAATTCCCTACTCAGCCAAAAAACAGCAAGCTGGGTTGGCCTTCTTCTGTTCACTCCTTTTCTTCCTGGAGTTGGTGCTCAGCAGCTAGTTCTGCCAGCAGGGTAGGCTGCTGGGACAGCAGGAACCATTCAAAGACACGAATGCAATTTTTCTGACTCCCGGCTTTTTAAATGATCCATTAACAGCAGTGCATATAACAGCACTTCAGTTAATCTAAGGCCAGGAACCATCCCCTCATTGTCTTGTGCAGAGTGGAGTGTAGGCCGGAGAAGGAGATGTCCTAAGAAGGGAAGACTTTCTAATAATGCAGGCCTGGAGTTAGCAGGAAAACAGCAAAAATGGATCTCCTCCATCCAGGCAGCGCCATTTGCCTCTCATGTTTTGCTCTGTCCCTTTGTATACTCAGGGCTAGCCGCCATGGCTGATGACCTCTGTGAATGGCCTACTGAGTTTTTTGTAGAATGAAAGTATTTGTTGTTATCATTTAGAATTGAGGTAGGTTCTGTGCCTGATGTATCACCTCCTTCCAACAGCTACTTCCATGGCCCCAGTCTAGTCATCTGTTACTCAGGATAAGTGATCCCAAGCTCATGGGGTTCATTTTGTTTGGTGGAAGGAACTATGTGTGTATGTGGGTGGAGGGGGAGATAGAATTTCTTGTATGAAAATCATATGTTTCACATCATTTTTGACCTTGGTGCCCAATGAGGAGGGCAGAGCAAGTATTACACTCATTTTCTATCCAAGGAAACTTTGGAGTTGAGCTAAGCATGGTTTTTAAAACTATGCTTTTAGATGGTGTTAGAATACATTCATGTGAGAGGCCCTTTACAAGCTCTGTAAGACAAGGGTGTTCCCCCCGCCGCCCCCCCCCCCAAAAAAAGCTTTTTAAAAAGCTAAACCACCACTATTCAAGGAAAAAAATCCCTCTGCTTTTCAGTTCTCAGAAATTAGACCTCACAGTTCTCAGTTTTCTGACTGCTAAGGTCTTCGATCCACACTGCCAAGTCCTTGGCACCTTGTACCCTCTCTGGTAGATTTGCTTGGGAGGTGATTATGACTTTTTAACAGTCTGATCGAACATTAAATTAGCTCCTTGTTTGTCAATGTGTTTATATGCCTTAGCCCTTGCTGATTATTTGTATAACATCTAGGGATGGGGAGGACATTGGGCTGGGAGGATCCAAGGTGGGACTGGGATAGAAATGGAAACAGACCAGCTCCTGGCTTGCCTCACGGAGGCCGCAGGAGCATTCAGTTGGGCTGGAGTGGCATCTGTGGATTTATGTGTGAGCAGCCAGCTGAGACGCAGCTAAAGCCAAGCAGATAACCAGTGTAGTGTGAGATGGTGACTTCCTCAGTCAAGCCTGGGCACCAATCCTAAGCCACCCATCTTGGGTGGCCCTCTGCCAGCAGGGACTCAGCTTTGTAGAGGGCATATTGCCCAGTACAAGGTAACCTTTCTTTGAACTGTAGATGAGTGTCCCTGTTCCTCCTATTACCACTGTACCTTCTTTCCTGAAGGGTTTCCTTAACCGATTTGGAAGCCCCCCTCTCATCTCTCATCTCTCATCTCTCATCTCTCATCGATGGCCTGCCTCAGCTCCTCTCTCTAAAGAGCTGTTTCAGGAACTGCTACAAAGACCAAGTACGCATCTGGTTTCCAACAGGGCAGCAGGAGCCAGTCCTCGCATCTTATTAGAGAAATAACTTGGGTAAAATCAGTTCCACCTTAGGAATGGCTGGATTTGGAGCTGGAAAGCTGCAACCGCAACTCTCAAGATACAATAAATACAGACAATTAAAACTCAGAAGGATAACAAGAGCCACACTTTTCGGGAGACAGTGCTCCTGACTCAATAAGCAGAGTGAATAATTTTACTTCCTTTTCGTTAAGGGGAGACCTGGTCCACTTCTGCAAGCAAAGGAGGAGAAAAACAAGCTGTGTTTACATAGCAGGGAGAGGGGCCTGAATAATAAATAGGGAGAGATGGTAAAGCTAGAGTGTTAGAACTAAGAGATCACCTGAAAGTCTTTAAGCCTTTTTTTTTTTTTTTGCCCTGAAAGGGCAGGAACAATGTGCTTATGGAATCTTTGGGTTATGGGAAGCCACCAGCCACAGTTATTATCTGTGGCTGTCAAGTCCCTCCTTCCTGTCCTCTCGGCCAAGCACTTTTTTCTCTATACCATCCATTTGGAAGGGGCAGTTAGTTTAGATCCTTCAGTGTTCTTGCCCCGTCTGTGTGTGTGTGTCCCTTCCCTGGTGGCCATGGTGTGGGAAGCCAGGCCCACCAGCAGCCTGCCCTGAATTCCTCCAGCAGAAGACCCAGAATAGTGAGAGCCCGAGGCGGTTTGTTGGAGGCAGTGCAACCTGCCCGTACGAGACTTAGATATATTCTACCAATTAGGGCACATCTGTTCCAAATGCTGAAAGGCGGGCACTGTCTCTTTAAGAGCCATCCCACTCCTCTCCTTGAGTGATGAGGGCTGGGAGCACAAGGGAGTCAGATGCTGATTAAACAGTCCTACTGCCTAGCTCTGTTAGAAAATTACTGTAATTATGATCTAGTCCCAGCAGAGGGATGAGTTCCAATCCTGCTAATAACCCTTCCAGGTGCCTCAGATGCCGGGCCCATGGGACTGAGCATCGACAGGGCTCTTGCTGGCACCAGGGCCGGCGACGGCCCTCCTGTCTGGCCTGTGCAGGCAAACACAACGAATGCACTGGACTCCTCACCCTATCTCGGCCTCCTGAGAAGGCAGTAGGTTGGGATTGTGTTGTGGGTTTTTTGTTTTTGTTTTTCTTTTTTTTTTTTTTGGTCCTTGACAGCTCCTGGGAGTCATTTTGTGGGAGAAAACTTTCCCCTAAACTAACATGAAGGACCAGGAAAATCATAGCCACAAGATGCCAATCTGTCCTGAATCCTCACTTGTGCCTGGGGACTGCAGTGAGCACTGCGCCAGCCCGACTCCGTGCAAAGGCGAGGGGAGCAGAGCAGTTGCCTTTAGCTGCATTGTCTCCTGCGCTTGTTTCTATCAACCTGTGTTTCGTGCTCTGAAGTAGAACACGGCATTTCACTTGGACCAAGAATTTCAGGGATTTCTGCTACTGAAAAGGGAATCAGGGATAGTGAACAAAGCTATTGAGAGAGATTCCCTATAATACAACTTTCTAAATTAACAAGTACAGGCTTATTTGTTTGAAGATATCATTTTTGTAGTGCAAATCTGCAGCAGTGCAGGCCAGCAAATCTCAAAGGTGCTTGTGGAGCATGAGGGCTTGCTTGCTGGTTTTTAAACCCTGAGGAATTCATGGCATTTATACTCTATATTAGTTTCCCAGCCTAGCCTTAAGCTGCTCCTTATCACTAAAGCACAAATTTCTAAAAGACGGCAGTTTCTCTGTGCTTGATTCTAAGCACACCCAAATGCCCCGAGACAATGGCTCTCAACCAAGGGCAATTTAGTTCCTAGGGAACATCTGAAAATATTTTTGGTTGTCAGAATTAGGGGGGAGGGGGTGAGTATTACTGGTATCTAGTATCTATAGAGACCAGGGATGCTGCTGAATATCCTACAGTGCCCACCAACATAAAATTATCTGGCCTAAAATGTCAATCATGCCAGGCTGAGAAACCCTGCACTGGCACAGTGAAGTAATACGCTTCAGGTTCTGCCCCCTACCCCAAATGTCCACTGCACCGCCTCAGAGATGTTGAAGAAATGATAGCCAATTCCCAGGCAACAGTTGCTTTTCCAGAAGTGGAATATATTAGCGACAGGCCAAGCAGGGTGCCTATCATAGGGGGCTTCCAGTAAACGTGGGTGGCGTGCACGTGCTCCCCTGGTGGCTCAAGGCAGCACATGCTGGACGGAGTGTGTGACTGTGGGGAAAAAGGAAGTGTCTGAGCGTGTTTCCGGTCCCATGATCAGATGTGGGGGGATAAAAGGTGGCCAGCTGCTCACCATCAGGTTAAGAGTGTCTGCAGTAGAACCAGATGCCCTCTTTGAGGACCAGCACTAGAAGCCTCTTGGAATTTATTCCCATCACAGGAGGCAAGGAAGTGGCACACTATTGCCCAGTGCCACAAAAATGCTTTCCTCAATGGCACTCTGCCAGGTGGAGGTGGCAGGCTACGATGGGGCCCCGTGAGGGAAATGAACACACACAGCGGCTGACAGCCGGCCAGCCCCACACGCGGCATGACACTAGAGACACCAGGCCCCTCAGAACTGCCCGGGCGCCAGGAAAAGAAAGCCTCGCTGGCAGGGTTTGCCTAGAAACCAGGCCTGAAGAGGAGAGGACTTCATTAGAAGGACATCGTGCCAGGAGAGCCAGGCAATCTACTGCCCACTCGCCTGGTGACTGGCAAGTCATTTGGCATTATTGACCACTCATCCCAGTTTACACCTGAGGTCTTGGAGTCATTATCAATAATAACTCCATTTCAGTCTCAAAGTGTCTCTGTTTGGAAAATAAGTTGTATGGTCATCCTATTAATTGTACCTCAGTTTCCTCTAATACCGTAGGGTTTTTTGTTGTGGGGGGGCATTATATAAGATTTTTTCACAAAATGGGCAACATCTTAAAATGTTTTATTAATTGAATCCCAAAGGGTTGTAAAAGAATGGTCATTGATTTTTACTAATGGAAAAGGAAACAACAACAACAACAACAGACCCAGCATGTTTTTTGAAGTTAGTTTTTGATAGGGAAAGAGGGAGAAAAATTCAAATCCCTTGAAGAAAAAAAATTTCTTTTTAGTTGTAAGTTTCAAACTCCCTACCCAATCTCTGAAATTCTAATGGGAAATGAAATGGCTGGACAGGAGGGGAGGGGAGGAGCAAGGGACTCTGGTAATCCACAAAATAGAAAATTAGTTTGAGTCACTGGGCTGTGTAGCTGGGATAATCCTCTGTGTAGACGGCTGCTTTTTCTAAAGTCAGCTCCGCTGATTTTGCTGGTGCTCTGGGAATTAGCAACTCAGCTCCACTCAAGATTAATCCTTCCAGAGCCATTCCTGGTGGGAGACCTGCTTGTGGGGAGGGCTTCTTTTTGGCCAAAGATTAAAGCACCTCTGTCCCTGGCGTCTTGAGAGTTTTGTTCTTAAGATGCAAGGAAAAAGGAGAGAGAGAATATACTTTGGTTCCTTTATACCCTTTTCTTCCTTGTTTTGCTTCAACCCCATTGTTTTCAGACTGGTTTGTAAAGGCAGGAGTCTGCACTACTCCCCCTACCCGCTTCCGTCTTGCTCTTTGCTTGGATACCACTGCTTTATTGTGTCGCAAGTGACTGGCATGGAATGTGGGTTTTGAAAATGTGTCATTGGTGTCTGACTGCAACAGAATGTGATTCGATAAGCAAAGCAGCAGACTGAGAATTTCAAGAGCCTTTCATTTCATTTCCTCTTCTACAGCAGATTTTGTTTAAGTCACCACCTTTCAGATCCTCAGTTTTGCCACTTGGCAAGACTAACTGATTACCAATAAAGTGGCTCAACTGAGGAAGCTAACGTGCAAAGAAAAAAAAAAAGTTAATGAAAACTTGAAATCCAGGCTATCCCCTACATACTATGTTTAGATAAAACGTCTACCTGAAACAGGAGAGACGACATCTAGTTGGCCCCAGCTTTTGGCATTGCTCTCACTTTAAATGGAATCAGACTGTCTAGGTTTAGGAAATGAGACTTAATGGGAATTCTCCTTCCCTTTTTTATTCACCAGAGGGAAGGATGTAGTTGGTTTTGAATTAAATTCAGATTTCTAAGAGGTGTTACAGGCCATTGTATGGGAAAATTTAATATTGAGGTTAACTGCAAAACAGTGTCTATGCTATTTTGCTATATGGATGACAGAGAAAACACACTAGAAAAAATGTACTTTTAATGAAATGTAGCTGAAAGATTGCTTTCTGAGCACTTAGTATTTTCAGATATTAGTCTGGACAGTACAGACCAAACTATACCAGCCCCAGTTCAGATTATCCAGTGGATGTCAGTAAGCTCTGTGTAAATTACTTATCTGTGAAAGGCAGATACGTTTGCTTCTTAAATTTGAGATCTGAGCTTTCTTATTTTTTGTTCTTCACATAAAATCTAGGAAGAAAACACGTCTCCCACCTCTAACTCTCTCCTATCTCACATGCCAGAGCAATTAGTGGCTATTAAGAACCCATTCTACATTTAATGTGGTTAGTTAAGTGGTCTAATACCCCCAGTTATCCAGTTAGTCACAGGCAGTAAGGTGGGGATTTGGTTAGTGGAGTCAAACAGAGAAGTAGTAATCTGATTAGCCAGTTGCTTTCTGAGGCTATTGGCTCAGATGTAGTCTGATGAATTGAGAGGGGAGCAGTTTTGCTAGGTGAAGTTGATTCCATCCAGAAAGACTGTAGGAATCTGCTGTTTCCAAAAGGTCTCCTTTAGAACTTCCCCCTAACAGAGGCTGGCCTTCAGCCCCAAAGACAGTCTTCTCAACGCTTTGAACTTGTTCTCTCTTTTCCTGCATGTAACCATGTCAGAGATAGATGACTATGGACCATATTTCCAATTAGTTCATTTCTTGATACCTTTTAGGGCCATTCTCATTGCTTTCTTCACTGAGTTTGACAGCTAAAAGGGTGAGAGGTCTAAGTGTGGTGCCTACCCTGCAAGTTGACAGAGGCGCAGAAGGACCTTTGCAATTTGGCAAATGGTTGTTCCCTCAGGGTAGCAGGTATAGAAGGGACTATGGCGCTAAGGGGATTTGTTTGAAATGCTGGAAACCAATGGCCATGCTACTGAGAGACCCTTGAGCTGCGCAGACAGTGAAGTTCCTTTGATCCCTTGATCTTGCCCCTTTTCCACGCCCTGTCTGACCCTGCCCCAGATACGTGCGCTTCTGGTGTGTGTGTCAGTCGGAGCAGTGGCACAATGGTATTCTCTCCTCTTAGTCTCCCGCCCTTCCAGATTTGGGTGCCTGGGGGTTCTCCGCGGGGGAACAATCAGAGGCATAGAAGCGCTTCTGTTTGCCCCCTCTGTTAAACACTTGAGAACAATACCCATTGTCCTTACCTGTAGGTTGGGATTGGTGCAAAGGTTCCTAAAGCTGGAGGCCATTGGTTCTCGTTGGTTCACCTGCTCATATGCTGCCACCTAGTGGTTCCTTCTCCTTCAGCACCCTGTGTAAAATGGAGGGGACATTAGGGGTAGTTCTGCATTGTCTTTATGTCTTTTCTTTTTTTCCTCCCAGACCTAAGACCTCCTCTTTCCTTACCTCTCCTCTGTTCTTACCTCTTTATCCAGCACATACATGAAAAGCATCATTGTTTTCACTCCTGGGTCAGAAAATCTGGAAATGAAGAGCTGGCATAGGATCCTTTGAGAACCGTGGCATTCACTGACGACCTCCCTGTTGGCTCCCTGGGTTCTCTCTTTTGGTGATGTGAAATGGGTGTCTCACTGCACGGCTATGATGTGGTGGTTACAGAGGCGGGAAAGGCTACTGCCAATCCAGGACTGCTCTGACTAGGCAGTTTCAGAGAGAAAATGTCTTTTTTTCCTTTTTATTCATTTTTATTTTTCAATTACAGTTTACATTCAGTATTGTTCTATATTAGTTTCAGTTGTACAGCACAGTGGTTAAACAATCATGTACTCTAGAGAGTGGTTCTCCACCCTCGGCCCTGATATTTCACGTACCTACCTGGCTCCATGTATAGTTATTATGATATTATTGATTCTATTTCCTATGCTGTAATTTACATGAGAGAAAATTTCTATAGATGCTGAGATGCTCAGTTGCCCATTTTTTAAAACTTGTCATGTAGACAGACAATAATAGCTAATCCTTATTGAGCAGTTACTACATGCCCAGCATTAGTTCTAAGTATGTTACATGTGCTTTTTTCCCTTTAATTTTCCTAATGACCTGGTGAGATGGAGTAAACCTCTTCTAAGGTGAGGAAACTGAAGCATAAAAGGTCAAGTAACTTGCTCTGGAGAACATATGTAGTAAATGGGGACCTGGGGTCTATTCCCAGGCTGCTGGTTCCAGAGTTTCTGTTCTTAACTGCTATGTTTTGCTGCCTCTCCAAGGTACAGGTAACCTGAGGGCTAGGTACAGGCAACAGGAAAAGGAACAGAGCTCTCTCTTGGACCCTATCTGGGGCTTGCTGCCTGCAAGAGGACCCAGTGGGGCAATTAACTGAGGCCAAAAGGAGCTCTCCAATGTGCTGACGCCAAGGACGTTCTTCTAGCCCTGTCTCATTTCAGAAAGATTTGGCACACAGGAAAAAAAATAACCAAGGAGGCAGCCGAAGGAAGTCTGAGAGGCCAAGCAGCAGCTAGGCAGGCCTCGGTTCCAGAGACGATCCTGCCCTGGAAGACAGCTGCAAGTCTCCCTCTCTATCTGAGCTTTTGTTTTCTGTCTGGCTGTCCCTTCCTACTTGGTTTGGAGTTGGCAAGAATGCCCAGAACTAGCATTTTGATACCATTACAAAAAGAAACTCAACACCATTACACGTGGCAAGGAACCAAATCTGAATTTATTTGTGCTTTTAAAATCAGTCAAAACAACCAGCAGCTTCCTTCTCCAAAGGTTTCCTTCTCTCTCACCTTCTCTGTGACAAGCCTGTGGAGAGTGCAGAGTGGCTGTGTGGACATGTTTAGAGATGCAATAAGCTATGACAAGGCAGGTTTAGTACCAGGTATGCTGAATAGGCCTCTTCCCACTTGTCTTATTGGCAATTTACAGGTGCTACAGGTATTGGCAGTTTACAGGTGCTACGGGTGTCAGAGACGTGTGTCTCTTCAGTGAAGAGTCCGTGGTGTTGGTGGGGTGGCGGGGGCAGGGAGTGGGAGCTCTTGGTGATCAGTTTCTTCATAAAAGCAGGATAGAGAGAAGGATATATGTCCTAAAGGAGGAAAAGCATACACATTTGCTTTTATGATTCAAAGTATATAGAAGTTATAAAAGGGCAGAGAGTGACAAGTGTCTCCCTCTCTGATAGTCATGCAGCTTCTCTGCCCTTGGAGGCAACCAGTGTTAGCATTTTCTTTCTCCTTCCGGAGGCATCTTATGCATATGTAAACAACCGGAAACTCCCTTTTTACACGAGTGGATTAAATTAGGCCTACCCTTCTCTGTTGCTTTTTTTTTTTTACCATACCAACATATCTCAGAATGTATTCCGTATCAGTGCAGAGATTTTTTCTTTTTTACTGTTGCATAGTATTCAATTCTATGAATGTACTGCAGTTATTTGGCTAGGTCTCTATTGAACACTTAGGTTATTTCCAATGGTTTGCTGTTACAAGCAAATAGCCTTGTGTGTATATCGTTTTGTGTGTGTGCAAGTGTAGCTGTAGAATAAACTCCTAGGCATGGAACTGTTGGATAAACTCCTAGGCACAAAACTGTTGGGTCAAAGAAAATGAGGAGATAAACAACTTCATCACTAGGTAAATGAAGCGAAGTAGGGTGAATCTGTTTAGATTTGATAGAAAAATCCAGCCCTTCTATGTTTATGGCCAGGAAATGGAGCCTTCATTGGGAAAGTCGTAAAGTCAAACCTTGTGCTGTCGACAGGCCTGAGCTGGTACTTTATGGTTGTACAAGGGCTTTGGAAAGTAAGATCTATCCTTGTGTCTTTTCCTAAATGAACCCACTCGGCGGCTGCTGCACACTGGAGTGGGCCCTGGTCTGGGAGGTTCCAAGGACAGTTTGTATCATTGTCACAAAGGTCACCCTGCACCCCCAGCTATAAAGTCAGCTCCCATTTCAGGTTGGAAGGTGGAGCTAGCGACATCATGCTAGCTTTGGGTGCCTTTCCTCACCATCCTAATTCTAAACAAAATCCATTCTGCACCAAATGAATTGCAAAGTTAGCCAGCCCAGAGCAAGCACTCACTCCACTGTTTTAAAATATGATACGGTTCTCACTCATAAAATGCAAGCCATATTCTTTATTACCTGAAAGTTAATTTATGTTCTCTGGGAGTCCTCACCTGGGTTCCTAATCTTGGTCAATCATATTGTAATACACGGGTCCTTGGACGAAATGGTGCTTGCCTGGGGGTGAGAGCTGGGGATACAGAGGACCAGACCCATGCCTGTGGCAGAAATTCCTAGCTGTCCCCAATATCCATTCTCCCCTTTTTATTTTATTAATGAACCCTCCCTCCACTTTCAAGCTAGACACAGGTTCTACCTAGAATAAAGCTTTCTTTGTAGCTTTGTGTGTCTGTCTGTCTGTCCAAGTTCTGGCCAAAGGAATGTAAGCAGAAGTGGTGCGAACAACATCTGTAAAGTGCCCTGTCAAGGAGAGGGTGTGCCCTTCTCCATTCATTTCATCTTCCCTGCGGCAGGAAGCAGACTTGCCAGCTAGAGCTGGAGCGTCCATCTTGGGCCATGAGGTAACCTTAGGAATGTTGGCCATGCACAGTGGGACAAAAGAGAAGATGCCTGGGACTTAGATACCTTGTATCACGTACCACCAGATTTCTACAGAAGAGAAAAATAAATGTCTATGTTAATTAAGTCCGTTATTTTGAGTTTTCTGTTACATGTAGTTGAACCTAATCATAGCTGACACAGTCCCCTATTTTAGGAAAAATAGTTCCAGAATCACCTTCTTTCAATGGTGAATTATCAGCATCCCTTTTGGAAATGAAGAAAAGCTGCTTCACTGGCAACTCTCATCCTTCAGAGAGAAAAAAGCATGGCCAACAAATGTATTGGCAATAGTTCTGATACCTGGGCTTCATCTTTCTTCTACTTCAAAGGCAGTTGTGAGATACTCCTTTGGAACAATCCCAACAAGGCTGTTTCGTTCTCCTACCCACCAGCCATACATGTTGTACTCCTGAAAAATGAAAAGAGGGTGGTTTCCATTGGAATGTGACCATACTTCTGTTACCCTTTTATGGAGATTGCATGGGAAATTCTATTGGGTGTCTCCTTTGTTGACACCATCAGTACGACTTGTTAACACCATTGATGAAATTATTAAATTAAAAAAAAAAAGTCACCTAGAGCAGGAAAGCAAACTGTTTTCACTTTGTCATCTTCCTGTCTACATTGTAAACTTAGCATATTTGGTGCCATTGCTGGACCTAAAGAGGTTGGTTGGTTGGTTGGTTTTAAACTAAACAGAGTCAAATGACTTTCTCAGAGAAAGTTGGGCACACTCTAAAATGTCAAAACACTAAAAATATTCAGGGAGTCAGGTCATAGTTCAAATCAATATTTACCAACCATCTTCTATGTGCAAAGTGCTGTTTGAGTTCCCATGAGACATATAATGATAAACCAGAATGTTGCTTTCTCCCTGGGAGCTTACAGCAGAGTAATGGGCTTTGGAGTCAGACAGACTGGGATCTGATCCCCACTTTGGTCATTTGGTAGCCACGTGACCTGAGGTTCTCCTAGCTTTAACGTCCCCTTCTGTAAGAGCAGGGAGACTGTCACTCCTCCCCTATGTTGTAGGGATGTAAGTGATGCCAGAGACGTGAAAACAATTCAAAGTGTCTGATACATAGTAGATGCTCTAAACATTAGAGGTGAGAGATTGACAGGCACATTCATAATGACAGGCAGGACATAAAAGCTACAGGGAGGGGCAAACAAGCAAGGGAATGAGAGGGTTTAAAAGACAGGGCAGTCACAGGGTTGAGAATGGGCCTCCCTGACTACAGAAGAGCTGCTCAAAAACACAGCAGATGTTGAACATTATGGGAATATTCCTGAAAACACCAGAAAATGTTTTCTTTCTTTTGAAGGAAGTAAAATTTAGGAATACATGGGCAATATCAGGGGTACCAGTTCAACTGGATTTGGGGTACCAAGGAGTTAACTGTCTGCATTTTCACATCTAGTTGCTGAGTTCTGCTAAGAAGAAAGAAAAAGAAAGGAAACCAGGTTGGTGACAAAAAATTCTGGGGCAAGCGGTTATATTTTTGTTCCTTTTTGATAATGTGTCTCCCCTCCTCCAACTCTGCCTCTCTTCTCCCTCTCATCAGATGATCTCTTTTCCACCTTCAAGGAGAAAAGAGAAGCCATTAGATTTGTTAACTGTCAGCCTCCAAGACAGGAACGTACCTGTACTGACAACCCCCTTCTTTCCCGTTAACGTGGAGGAGGTGTCCTCCCCTGGTTTAAGACTATCCCTCATAATATGGACTTGTAACCTTCCACTTTCTTAGAAATGAGGTTCTATGGAGTCTGACCTCTGCCTCCACTGTAAATGGAGCTTTCTGTCAGCTTTGAAATGTGTTCAAGTTTCTTTCATCTTTGGAAACAATTACTAAATGGTCTCCCCCAGGTCTGCTCTCCATTTCTACTGGTCTATGCTGATTGCCAATTCAAGTCAAAACCTTACTGAGTTTCCTTCACCTACTATCCCACATTCTTGCTTTATATTCTCTTCAAGCCAGTTTAATCAGGCTTCTGCTTCTATCACTCCACTTACGCTTTCTCTCCATGGTCTCCTGTAACCTCCTCATTGCTCAAATCCTATGGGCACTTCTCAGTCCTTAATTAACTGACGTGATCTCTCAGCAGTGCTGGCGCTATAGACCTTTCTTGAGGCATTTTCCTCTCTTAGTTTCCATGATAATTATACTCTCCTAGTTTCCCTCCTAGTTTCCAGTTACTTCTCATTCTCTTCTGTGAGCTTACCTTCCTCTCCCCCTCCTTTTGCTGTGGTTGTTTTCCGGCGTTCTGTCCCAGCCTTCTGGCTTGATGCGCTTTCTTTGAGCCTACAGCTCTGTGGTTTAGCCATCACGTCTATGTAAATGACTTACAACCACAGCTCCAGCCCAGATCTAAGTGATGGATTCCCAATACCCAAGGGTATGTCTGTCAAGCTGCTCAAACTCAAAATAACCTAAATTTGACCCATCACTCTGCTCCTATTTCCAGCCCCCCTCCCGAACTTTCTTTACCTCCTGTGTCCTCTATCTCGGTGAATGGTGCCACTATGAAATCAGTTACCTAAGCCAGAAACCTGAGAGTTGTTCCCAGTTTCACCCTCCTTTTTCCAATCAGTCCTTGAGTTCTGTCAATTCTCTTTCCAAAATATAACAGCAATCCACCCACTCTCTCTATTCCCATTGACAACACTCCAGAGTCATGTCACTGTCATTTCTCATGAGGACTATGGGAACAACCTCCAAACGGTTCTGTGTAGCCATTCCTATTCTCCTCCAATTAATCTTCATTCTGCAGCCAGAATCTTTCTAAGATACACATTGAAAATATCACTGCTCTGTTCGAAACCTTAAAGTGGGTCCCCACTGTCTATTGTCAGCTTCTTAACCAGGCAGACAAGGCCCCACGTGACCTAGTCCCGCTCACTGCCCAGCACTGCCACTCGCCCCCTTAATCTGGCGGCCTCTGAGTAAAGCAGAACTGGCCTCAGCCATTCGCCGGGCTGCAGGTGCCCTCGCCTTGGAGCCCTTCCTCTGCCTATCAGCCTCTTCTTCCCTCCTCCCTTTCATGAGCTCACTCTTAAGCAGCTGTCAGATCTCAGTTCCCGAGCCTTTCTAGATTCTCTAGAAGCCCCTCCTTGCCACTCTCTGACTGAGCGGGGCACTCGGCTATGTGGTCCGCAGGGCTGCGCCTATGCTTCACCGGAAGCGAGTTCATCACGCTGTCTTGTACTCGTCTGCTTTTTTCTCAGTGCCAGTCATTAGGTGGAAAGTTCTGTGAGGGCTGGGGCCTTGTTGGTTTTGTTTGCTGTTGTATTCCCTGCACTCAGCATGGTACCCAGCACAAAATGGGGCCAAAAAAATACTTAAACGAGGTTATGAAGAAATGAAGGGAGCAGTGGGGATTTGTACTCCCAGTCGAGCAGAGTTAGTTACAACTAACTCCAAAATATCCCCCTGGTGATTGAACTGGTTGTGGCAGGAAGAGAGCAGCTGCCTTTGGAGAGAGTTTTCCCAAATGGCTCCATAAATACCATGAAGACGGCCTCAAATGGCACAAGAAATGAGACTACTGAGTTGGTCCTAAAAAGGAACAGTGAATCACCTTTAAAAATCAGTCTGAAATAAATGACTGTGTCCACCACCTCTCCGCCACTGTCCCCACCACACGTCATTCCGCCCCTCCCTCCCCCAGGCCAGCTCCCCTACCGCCCGCCCTGCCTTACAGGACGTTACCCAGAATTCCTTAGCCGATGCTGTTAGAACATTTTCAAGCTCCTATCAGTACAAGTTATGTTCCTGCCCATCTCCCAACACTGAAGTTAGGGCTGCCTCTGCCGTAAGCTTTTGTGCAGTTACTGCCTTGCGTGAGCGGGTCACTGCAGTGGCCGTGTGCGTATAGAGCCTTGCTATGATGGGGAGACACATCCCCCTTTCTCTTAGTAACTCATAAAAACTTTAGCTTCATTAGCTCTTCTGTTATCTCCCAGGCGGGGTGAAGGGAGCAGAGTGTTGTCCGACAATCGTTTGATCGCAGTCAGCTTGTTTAAACATGTGAAGAGTGGTCTCCCACCAACCAAATGCTGTCATCTTCATCACCTGAGGGGCTCAGAGAGGATATTGTCCCCCCAGGGACCATTCAAGACTCCTGACTCTGACTCACACCGGGCAGCACCCGCCTTTGGCCGTAATGCCAGGAGTAGGGACCGAGCCTTGGGAAGGTGCTCGTGGCCAACTTGAAGAGGGTGCGAACGGGAAGCAGATGAGGCCCGGCAGGACACCTGCAAAGGCCAGGCTCCCAGCCAGTGTGCTCTTGCTCGAGGGGAACGCTGACCCTGCCGACCACAGATGTGGCAGTTCTCACAGTGGTGAGAACGGAGCGGAGTGAAATCACCTCTCTGCCCTTCAAAACAAAAGAGCAGGCAGAAGTGAAAGGAGAACGGCACAGTCTCCGAGACCATATGTATCTTGCTGTGGGAGCCTAGGAGCTTAATCAAAGCACCCACAGGTCTTGGGATCTGACTGTCTTCTCCAGATTTCATCCTTGGCTGGATACCCGAAAAGGGCCGCAGGGCTGAGACGTTTAAAGCATGAATGGAAAATTTCTAGCCGCCTCTCTCACTGCCACCCCCCACGCATTGCTCCAGCCCGGTCTGAACACCACGAGGTATTTTAAAATAATTTCTACTTTGATGAATTGCTGGGGAGTCCACAATTGCTCATAATCAAAGGGAGAAAAATGCAAATGAGATCCGGCCGAGAACTATCACCACCAAACGTTTATTTCACTGCACAGTGCCAAAAAGAATTAAAACAACATTAAACTCACAGCAATCATGTTTAAGCCCTCGTTTCCAAGTGCCAAATTGCACCACTCTGGATCATACAGATGTTCGTTAATTATGCTAATTTTTATTAAACTATTAAAATGGAGAGAGTACTGGCTCAGCCAGGCAGACCCCAGCTCTGAATGAACTCTGCTCTTGTCTAGAGGTGCTAATTTACTGCATTTTTATTAAGTTGCTGATTCTTGGATTTTAGTTTTGGGATGGCAGAGAGAACTGAATTCCTGGGATCAACATTTTCAATAAAGTTTGACTTCTTTTGTCCAGATGTTTGGAAAGATCGGAAAAATGCCAAGACCCTCCCAGGAGACCTGAAATCCTCAGTGTGGGAATGCATACCTACAGGTGACAATGTTAGGGGGTCAGAATTATAAAGGCTCCCCACACTGTAACTCTATATACACTGTGTATGGAAGAGCTAAGGTGTTAATTATATAAAATTGTTCATTGAAGATACTTTAAGAACATAAAAAGCTATTTAAAAACTCTTCACATCAGTGCTTGCTTCTTGCCACAAAGTCTTTTAAGAAGCCTTTCACTTGAAAATAGTAACGATGTATGGTTTGTTCTCATCATCATATTTCTAGGCT